AGGTTCTGAGAGCCGTTTTTAATTCTACTATTTTTTCAAGTCAAGCCTTATACTCTAGATTTTTCTCGGTTTTTTTTATTTCTATAAAAAAAAATTGAACTTTACTTTTTTATTTATTTCGACTTACTCTATCTAATACCAGGTAATACTGAGTATATTGTGACTGTTGAGTCTACTGTTTCTGTATGGGGAACGGTTATGTTCTTTCTTGCAGTCGAAGTAAAAACTAGTTTTATGCTTGTCATTATGTGCTTGATAGTAGAAGAATACCCATTACGCCATATACCGGTCACGGACTAAAAGTTGGTGATTGGAAACGCTGAATAGTCAATACGTTAGAGGAAAATGTGTTCTCTAATAGGAAGGACGCTAATGCTCTATCTATCACTACTACTGAGTGTGTATGACGCCTCAGCGTTCCTAGTTGGGGTTGCACATGATTACTTTTTGTTTCTGTTACTCACAATTGTTAAATTATTTATCCTTTTTCAATAGAGCTAATGATGGAAAGACCAAAACATGAGCTAGCTTAAATCCCAACGAAGGACTTTTTGTTATCAATTTCAGTTACAACTAATTCGCAAAGATTGCACCTTGAGGTCACGTGTGATATAAAGTCATCAAAATTACCATCTTTTTTTTTAATCGTTGGGATATTTAGGGACCTGAGACCTTGGGCTTAAACCAATCCATCAAGTTCTTTATTCCTTGGAGATTTTCCTTGAGCAATATTCCTTACATCTCGATAATTAACATGAACTTCTCGGGTATTGAATACTCCAACTTGTCTTTTATCATGCACTTCAAATTAACTACGAATTTCATTTTGATAAAATGAAAGAGAAAAACTAATTAATTAATAATATTATTTTTATTATTTATTATCATTAATCTAAATTTTTTTTTTATTTATTTTTTATCAATTGATTTAGATTTCGAATACACTTCCTTTTCTATCTTTTTTTTCCCTCAAGAATCCTTTGAGCGCGATACATAAAAATAATGCTTTAAAATTACATGATAACGTTGATGGTTTTTGTTTGTTTATTCCGCAATCCATTTTTTTTCAACAATGTCTGTTTAGCTGTAGTTTGAAAATCCAGGAGTTTTGGATATCATTTTGACAACCTTTTTTTTTCCTTTAATAAACTTTATTTACAGATATACATGTATAATCAAATTTTAAATTGGTGTACCCGATATGTTTCAACTGTCCGCATATGCAGAAGTAATGTATCACACATGACATTGAGGGAAAATTTACAATATCCCTCAGCCTGTTAAGATCTCTTTCAGGATTACCTAAATCGGTCACAAATTCTTCCACCTCATAACCAGATTAATGATCTGTCGCTACTAGCGCTGAACTAATGAACTTCAAAATCCAACCTGATGCGAGAAATCGATAAATAAATAACCTGATTTTCCTAGAAATCCTGTTCATTAATAATCTTTAAAACTAAATAAAATCAAAATAAAAAATACACCAATTTAAAATATTAAGAATTTCGTAAATAAGAAATTTCTATAAACTAAATCACTACAATTACAATTAAAGGTTGATATTGCATAAATAGTCATTAAACGACAACAATGAATTTAATAATATTGTAGTACAATAAATAATTTGTTTGTTAATCATGACGCCATTCTAATTTTGTGGTTGGCAAATCAGGTTTTAAACTCTCACAAGACAAAAAAAATTCTCACGAAAAAATTTTTTTTTTATTAAACCTGTCCTTTTCAACCATCTCGTTTACTCTTGGTTACTGCTGCCAGGCAGTAAAGGCTTACAAATGGTTTTGGCTGTTGTAACGCTTGGGGATTCATTTTGTAAATGCAAAAATAGTCTTTAAATTTGAAGGTTGGGAACGTGTCCTTTAGCAACTCCTCTTACTAAAGTATTTCAAATTATGAAAAATGAAAAGTACAGTAAAATCACATTAATTTTGTGACTCAGCAACAAGTTAACGTGTCTATTCTTAAACGATAAAAATATTCAAAAGGTAAATTTCAACCTTACAAATTTAACTTCTTTTAAAATTTTTATTTAACTACTTTTTTAAAATTTTAACAGATTTTTTTAATTTTGATTTTTAATTTTAAAATATTTAACTATTAGAAAATGTCATCTAACAAATCCTTTTGTGTACTGAAGCCGTTGAAAATATTTAATAATTATGAGCACGTTGATAAAATGGATGCTCACTATGCCTTTTATAAAAAATTATGTTCAATTCTTGACAATGAAAAATGTGTTAAGAAGTCCGCAATATTGCCCAGAAACTCTTGAAAAGCAAAAAAGTAAGTATGATATGCATATGATTATAGTCAGATGAGGCTTAGCCAGGTCCTTTCTTATACCTTTAAATAGGAGTGGAACACTTATCTTATCCTTACAAGTTAGTGATGCATCCAGCCATTCATCTTACTTAATTTTTTATCTGATTATTCTTTTGTGAATTATTTCTCATTTACTTTTCTTTTATAACAATGTACTTAATAGCTTCTGGATCACTTTCATTCTCAAAGAATTGCGAAATCATCATATAAAAGAAGAATTGCAATAACCCAAAATTTGTCTTTTATACTCAATGGTCCATTATGGATTATTCTCTGTTTAAGGAATTATAGTTGAATCAATCCAATCTGGTTTTCATTTCTCTTATAAGATGAATTAGTCTATAATTCAGTATTTGCACCTGTTCTAACATTTTACTATAATGATAATATCCTAAATGAAAATGGAGAAATAATGAGATTAAGAAAGTGTAGTAATCATTTGTATGCAATTATTTTTATACTTTTTATATATTATTAAATATGTATATATCAGATTATTTATTTCTAATATATTCTTTAGACCAGTCTTATAAATCAGTCTGGATTGAAAAGGAAATAAATCTTGGATCAGTCCTGATTAGTAGGATTGAATAATACAAAACAGTCTTAAAAATGAAATCTGATCCTAAGAAAGATAAAAGACTGATCATTTTGAATCAGATCAGACTGGATCAGACTGATTTAATCCTATTAGTGACGTATTTAAGAACAAATATATATCAGGATAGAGTGACACTTAATATGCTGTTTAACAGAATAACAGACATATAAAATAGAGTATTATTAACATCTTTACCCATTTGTCTAGAAAAGATATCAAGTTATATTTGAATGAAATAGAATTTACTTCTCTAGTAAAAAAAATTAAATATATTGATAATGGATTAAATATAGAGATACAGAATATTTAAAGGTATTAATAGTCAGATTTAAATTTATCCTTTAAACTGTAAAAGTTCGCAGGCAAATTTGCCTGCTTATTTACTATAAATTCCCTTCTGATTTACTTTTATGAAAAATTAAAATTTTT